ATGCAACATCAAAACAAAGATGTGGATGTGGACACCGACGTGCACGTAGATTAAATCATGGAAGAAATAATCAACTACGTTATCAACAACAAGGCAATAATTTCAAAAGGCACAAATCAAATGAAAGTAGTACATCTAGAAAGGAACACGAAGAAAGTTACTTCAGATATGGAATGAAAGTGCATTGGGCATGTAACTGTTGTACGGTAAAATATCTCGTGGATCTCTACCAAAAATCTGTTAAGGGCAAGGAAAAAGTTGAGATAAATTTTGCTGATTATGATGGTCCAATTAATGTGAATCATTTAGAAGTCTCCGATTTTTTTGTTGATCCAAATGGAAATATTGACCATTTGATTAAGGGTGGAGTGATGGAAGATATAGATTAGTTTATTCTCTGCGTCTCTAGTATTTCCTTTTATTTTGAAATATATTTTTACTTTTTGCATAAAAGTTTTGAACTTTATTATATATCATTAATTTCATAGTATTGAACTTTGTTAATCCTTTTTGAAATTTAAATTCAAGTTTTTTCAAATAAATTTACTTTTTTATTTACAAATTCAAGATGGATTGTCAAAACATATGCTTGATTGATAGTACAACTACATATACTATTCTTCAAGACAAAAAAATATTTTTTGGACTTAATATTAGCAGAAAATAATGTTAATACGATATCGGGTGGATCGAATATCGTTGAAGATCTTGTATTATTTTACCAAATAATACAAAATTATATGTTGACGATGCACTTTACTTCAGCAAATCAAGAAAAAATTTGCTTAGTTTTAAAGATATCCACTTCAATGGATATCATATTAAGACAAAGCAAGAAAAAAATGTTGAATATCTTTGCATAAATTCTTTTGTATCTTGCAAGAAGCAAATAAATGAAAATTTTCATGCACTTTCATCTGACATGTATTATACATTTATAAAAATGGTTGAATTAAATAATATCACGAACTAGAAGTTCGTTGACCTAAAAGGTTTTATATTTTGGCATGATCGACTTGGACATCCAGGAGTTGTAATGATGTGACGAATAATAAACAACTCACATGGACATCCTTTAAAGAATCAGAGGATTCTTTTACCTAATAATTATCTATGTATAGCTTGTTCGCAAGGCAAGTTAGTCATTAGACCTTCGATTACAAAGGTCAATATTGAGTCTCCAACTTTCTTAGAAATAATTCATGGAGATATATGTGGGCCAATACACCCACCATAATAATGTGATTTTAATAGATTATATGTTATCTCATAAATTATGGGATCGAAATAATGTTGTTATAGATAACATTTTCACCTTTAATGTGGCTCTTAATATTATGTAAAATGAAGATCCTGAACCATAGTCGATTAAAGACTGTCAAAATAGAAATGATTGGCTAAAATGAAAAGAAGCATATAGGTGGAATTGAGTTCTTTGGAGAAACGAAAAGTGTTTGGACCAGTTGTTTGAACACTTGAAAATGTAATCCATGTTGAATACAAATGGGTTTTTATATGAAAGGGAAATGAGAATAATGAAATTATAAGATACACAGCCCGACTCGTAGCTCAAGGTTTTCACAAGAACTAGGAATTGATTACGAGCAAACATATTGTCCCGTGATGGACACCATCACTTCTAGATTCATGATTATTTGATTGTATCACAAAAGCTTGATATGCGCCTTATGGATGCAGTAACTGCTTATTTGTACCGTTCACTTGATAGTGAAATATATATGAGAGTTCCTGAAGGACTTAAAGTGCCAGTAACAAATGATACATGCCTGAGAATCATGTTCTCAATTAAATTACAAAGATCATTATATGGATTGAAACAATCAGGATGTATGTGATATAATCGTCTTAGTAAATATTTGTTGAATGAGGGTTATAAAAATGATGATGTCTGCCCAAGTGTTTTTATAAAGAAAATATATATTTAATTTGCAATTGTGGTAGTTTATGTTAATGATTTAAATTTAATTGGAACTCCTAAAGAGCTCAATAAAACTACAGATTATTTGAAAAACGAATTTGAGAAGAAGGATTTGGGAAAAATCAAATTTTGTCTTTGACTATAGATTGAACATTTCACAGATGGATTATTCATTCACCAATCTACGTGTACAGAAAAAGTTTTAAAACGTTTTTATATAGATAATGCAGATTCATTGGCATCACCTATGGTTGTTCGATCACTTGATGTGAAAAAAGATCCATTTTGTACACTTGAAGATGGAGAAAATGTTCTTGGTCCTTNATCACCTATGGTTGTTCGATCACTTGATGTGAAAAAAGATCCATTTTGTACACTTGAAGATGGAGAAAATGTTCTTGGTCCTTAAATGCCATATCTAGTTGCAATTGGAGCATTAACTTATCTTACAAATTGCACTTGACCCGACGTAGCTTTTTCTGTAAATCTCCTTGCAAGATATAGCTCTACACCAACACTAAGATATTGGAATGTTGTTAAACATATTTTTCATTACCTTAAGGGCACAATTGATTTGGGATTATTTTATTCTCAAAAGTCAGGATCTGCTTTAGTGGGATATGCAGATACAAGTTATCTATCTGACCCACATAAAGTTAAATCATAAACATGTTGTGTGTTTACAAGTGGAAGAACAGCTATATCATGGAAATCTGTGAAACAATCTTTAACAGCTATATCCTCAAATCATTCTGAAATTATTGCAATCCATGAAACAGGCCGAGAATGTGTATGGTTGAGAAATATGACCCATCATATTCAAGCATCATGCAAGTTAACTTTAATAAAAGATAGTCCAATAATTTTATATGAAGACAATGCAACTCGTATTGCACAACTTAAAGGATGCTCTATCAAAGGTAACATGACGAAACATATTTTTCCAAAATCCTTTTATATGCATGAGTTTCAAAAGAATGGCGACATCGATATCCAACAAATTCGTTCAAGTGACAATGTGACCGATTTATTCACAAAAACATTATCAATATCTACATTCAAGAAATTGGTTCGAAGGATTGAAATACACCAACTCATATATCTTCAGTGATTTTCATCAAGGGGAGTAGTTGTACTCTTTCCTTAGTCTAGTTTTTGTCCTACTGAGTTTTCCTAGCAAAGTGTTAATGAGGCAGCATTTTCTTTATACACCAAAATATTGACAATCAATTGTACTCTTTTTTTCTTTGTTTGATTTTTTTCCACTGGATTTTTATTAAACAAGGTTTTCAACGAGGCAGTTATTGTACAAATAATCATCAAAAGGAGAGTGTTTTAAAATAATGAGATAATTATTGATGATTATTTAGTGTTATCGTGATATATGGATAAGTCTTATCTAATTTAGAAGATCTATTTTATTTCAATTATAACTCTTATTTTGGACCCCATAAATATAGGGCATTGATTCATAATAATACATAATTGATTTTTGACTCTTTATTTCTTTTCTTATTTTCTCACTTCCCTTTAGTTTTATAACAGATATATCTCATTCTCATTTTCTTCAATTATTCGTACAGGCTTGCTTCAGACCGTCACTCATCACCCCACATGGCCACCCTCCCCCGTCTACCTTCTACTCTCCCATCGGCATCGACTTAACTGCTCATGGCTATCTACCCCTTCTAAACGTAAAGCCTGAAGTGCATTCTAAATTCTAATTCTTCAAATCTATTTCCAGGCTATAACACTTTAGCCAACCCAATATTTGTTGTTCCCTTGGTTTTCAAAAGATGCTTTGAACCCTAATTTTCTTTACAGATTTTCAATCTTGAACTAATGAGGAAAATTTTCATTTTATGGGCCTTTTCTTGGTTCAGATCTGCTTTCTGATTGGGACTTGTTGAATAAATTAGTTTTTGATTCAGCTGTTCAAATATTGCAAATAGCGTAAATTGATGTAGGTAACTTGATGTTTGAATTTTGTGTGTATCGAAAAGTTTTGCTTTAGCTGAAATATATGTACGAGATTGATGCATTTGGTATTGGGATTAAAGGGAAGTCAGTGCCTTTCAAGAAGATTAGTGTTTTCTATCTTTTGATTTATATTCTTCTATTCTTGTGTTTATTGGTATTTGCATTGGTTGTTGAAATTTTTTTGAAGAAAAAGAAAAGGTAAAAAGGGAGAAAAAAGGAATCCTGGGTTGTTTTTGAGTGCTGATTAATGAAGGTCCAAGCCATGGGGTTGTTGGGACTTGGCTATATTGTGCTTGGTGATTATTTTTGAATTTACGGAGATTGGGAAAGTTCAGAGGAAGTCTTTTTTGGTGTGTGTTTGGCCCCCATTTTTGTCAAATTTTTCTGTCAAAACTCATTACCGTGCATAGACAAGACAATGTCAAAAATAGACAGAGGCAATATCATTTGTTGAGATTTGAAGACTAATTTGCCCTCAATGAAAGAATAAAATTCCAATTAAAGGGCAGGAAATGAAAATAATAAAATTCTGATTGAAGGACAAAAATGGGAAGATGCAAATGCCTAATTTCAAACAGAAGCCTAAAACGATTTAGGCCTCAGCTTTTGTCAGGGTGGCTATCTCATTTTCTAACACAGGGCCCACAATTGTTGACAAAAGGTTGGAAAAAAATGGAAAAAAAATGGGGGCCAAACATGTTACAACCGAATTCTTTTAGGTCAAAAATCAATTGTTGAATTGTCAAAGTCAAAGTCAAATAAGGACTAAAATGTAAGAAAGTATTTTATTGGGGTTATTTTATGATAAAAAAATATTTTGAGGGTTTAAGATGGATAAAAATTTTAAGTTTGGATTTATTTTTCAAAATTTGAAAGTTAAGGATTTAATACTTTATTATATGAAATTTAGTATGGCTAAATGTTATATTGTATGGAAGATGAGGGACTTACCTTGCAAAACCCCACTAATTTGACCATTTAAACCCAATTGCCATTACTTTACAGATATTTCTCATACCGAATCGGGCATAGAGGCTAAAGGAAAAGAAGAAAGAAAAGAAAAGAGAAAGGAGAAGAAAAAGAAGAAGAAAAAGAGGAGTAGAAAAAGGGAGGAAAATAGGTAGTTCAAGCTTGTTTTCATTCTCCTTTCTCTATATTTTCTTCAAGAGGTAAAGAATGATTTTATCTTAAATTTTTAGGGTTTTAACTTGTGGTATAAATTTCAGATTTAAGAGGCTAAGAGTACAAATTGGAGCTCAAGTTTGCTGATTCTTTAATCTCCAATTTCATTAAGGTAAGAATACCAATTTTTGGCAAACCCTAGATTTTAAATTGGATACTTGAGTAAGGATTAATTGTGAACATGATTATGGTGATGATATATTAACTTGAAAGAATGGATCTATGGAATAAGATGTAAATTAGATTGGTGCAAGTGGGAATTCAAGTTTCACTAGATTAGAATAAAGAATTGTTTTATGTTTGGGATGTAGGCAATTATGATAATTTAAAGATTAGTGAAATGCTAGAAGGTAGAATTTGTTTCAATTGTGAAGGAATAGGCAATTATGATAATTTAAAGATTAGTGAAATGCTAGAAGGTAGAATTTGTTTCAATTGTGAAGGAAACTAAAGAATTTATTCAAGTGCCGAAAAGTCAAGTTCTAAGATTTCATAATTAAATGTTAAGAGATACATAGTATGAGACTTGTTAAATTAGTTATTTTACATCGTATTTCAGGTGATGACGTGAAAGCTTGAGAAGGCTGGTCAATTTGACCAGATTGCTATCCATAGATCTGTGAGTGGAGAATCTACGTTTCCAAAAAGAATATTTTCTTTTTATTTTATAGAAGCATATTAATTGCATGAGATGCCTTATTTTCGAGAATTAGTAAATGAGCATGATTGTTTTGAAATTATGAGAAAATAATTGATGTGATTATCTTACTCTAGTACACTGAGGGGCTACGGTCATGTACTAGAGTCATGTATTTAACTCCTATACACTAAGGGGCTACAGCCGTGTGTAAGGGTAACTCTTATCCACTGAGGGGCTACGGTCGTGGGTAAAGGTATCCATTATACATTAAGGGGCTACAGCCGTGTATAAAGATGATTATGTTGTTTCCATCTTGTACATTGAGGGGCTACGACTGTGTACAGAGTATTGATCAGAAGGTTTATGTACGTATGATTTATAGCTTTCAGATCATTAGTAGATGTTTACACGGGATATATTTGATGTAAATTTTAATTATATAGAGGATTATTAGTCTTCAGCTTCCATTTACCCGTTTACAGTTCAACTTATGGATTTCAGATTATAGAGTTCAATTTATTTAGTTCTAAGAATAAAGTTTCCGGCTTATAATATTGAGCAACAACAATATTCCATAGATTTTCATGAATACTAGATTCTTTGTATTCGTTATACTTTGCAGTAATTAAGAACAAAGAATTTTATAATGCAGTCATGCTTAGTTGAAAGTGTTGCTAGATTTAAGCATTTTCCCAAACATTTAATAGAGATAGAATTATCAGGAAATATGCATAAATGGAAAAGTACACTTATTTTCAATCTATCCACTCACTGAGTTACAATCTCATATTTTGTTAACCTTTTTCCTTATCAGATAGCAGCCGAGTTGATAGAGCCTGTCGATCCACTGAATTGAGCCACACGTCATTAGTTGTATGTTTTACTTTATCAGATTAGGTAGTACCTGTTTCTTAGGTTACATGTAGTTTATTTTAGAAAAGGTTGTTATGAGATCACTATATGGTATATTTAGTACATTTGAGGATTGTTGATAGAAAAGCAAGTAAATTTTAAATTGTCAGTATTTTATTTTGAATAGTTTGGATTTTGAGGCACTAGCGTACTTGTTTTATATTATATGTACTGATTTGAGGAAATTGATCATCGATCAGGTGGTTTTAGTCCATATTTTAGAGGAGATTCTGTGAAAATTCTTTAAAATTTCCTCACAATCAGACAAGTCAAGGTTGCATTGGTGGTGGGTCTGGCACTTAGATGATATCTATCATCTGTGCATGACACGTGTCAGATCCATTACGTGATTCGGGTTTGGATTTTGAGGCACTAGCGTACTTGTTTTATATTATATGTACTGATTTGAGGAAATTGATCATCGATCAGGTGGTTTTAGTTCATATTTTAGAGGAGATTCTGTGAAAATTCTTTAAAATTTCCTCACAATCAGAAAAGTCAAGGTTGCATTGGTGGTGGGTCTGGCACTTAGATGATATCTATCATCTGTGCATGACACGTGTCAGATCCATTACGTGATTCGGAATGGGTCATATCAATTGGTATCAGAGCATGGTTCAGTGGTTGTTAAGATAAGTGGTTCATGAGTTTCTTTTTTTAGAATAGCATGTAATTAAGATTGTTAGTCGTGGCGTGGTGGCAGAACTCACAGGCTTCAATGTGGTATTTGAAACTCATATTGCCCTTGATAAAGAAGATATGGCAGCTAAGAAAGTAGAAGAATCTTTATTGATTTGAGCATAATAAGTATGAGGATGTTATTGATAATTATTCGATGGTAAGGAGAGTTGTCAGAGTTGTCATGTTGGCGCCATATTATATTTCTCTAGTATATTAATAATTGCGCTATATATCCAATAGGTAGTTAAGCAAAGAGTATAACTTTTCTTAGTAATGAGATTTTTTGGGTTATGAATTTCTTTTATGATTATTACAAGGAATGTTTTGTAGATGCCTTGAATAATAAATATTGTCTAATGTTGATATATGTATAATTGGAGACATTACAAGGTGAAATTATGATTATTTTATAAATATAAAGGATTGTGGTATTGTGAGAATTATCCTGGGAATTTGTAATTATATTTAGTATATGGAAGAAAATGCATGTATTAGAAAATCAAGATGTGGAGATATAATAAGAAATCTTGTTCATGACAGATATAATGAAATCATATGGAATGTCGATTCATGACGAAAATAGTGTTATTGAATATGTTTTACCTGGCGATTTTGAGTAAATTAATAGGACTATGGTTCCCTCCTTGTTGATTCAGGAACAATTAAGTATCTAGATCTGTACTTCAACTACCGTTGAAGGAAATATTAAGGGTTTACTCGGTTTGGGTGTATGAAAATAAGTTATGATGAATGAAAAATGAGAGAATATTTTTTTACAAATTCAAAAATGACTAGTATGTAAGTATATCAGTTGCAGGGATTTAATGGTTGACAATGTTATAAGCTATTAGGTTGGTACAAAGGTGTATGCTACCTAGTACTTAATAAGAGTGTAACATTGTCAGCTGTTAGGTTGGTACAAAGGTGTATGCTACCTAGTACTCAATAAGAGTGGAACAGTGAAAAGATACAAGTTTGGAATTAGAGTTTTAATGAGTTTGTAGGTTACCTATCTATATGCATTCGAAGGAATGGAGTACCATGTTGCCTAAATATTGAATTACATACAAGATTTTGTGATTTTTTAAATTTAGATATGGGTAAGTCTCTGTTATAATTTGCATGATAAATAAAATGGAATGATATTATGTGTAATTGATGACAATTATATGAGAAATCTTAATTATCTTGGGAAGCTAAATGATCAATAGCATTGTCGAAGATTATTGTGATTTGTAGCCACTCACATGGGAGGATAGAAATTAAGGTGATGTATATCTATATATATGACAAGAATCTCGTGGAGGATAGATGATGATATTATATCGAATATTGATCGGTAGAGAATAATGTGTTATTATGTATGTTATGCATCGAGGAAATTGACATTCATGTAGCTCTGATCATTTTGATTATTTATGGGCTATTTGATTATAAGTAATGTTAGAAAGGTATGGATAGACTTCACAAAGACTATTTATTGTGGGATAAACTGTTGTTGAAGGAAAATAATTATTTGATTTGTGCATTTATGTAAACTGGGTAAAAATGATATGAATGAAGTGAGTCTATGAAACACATTGATTTTCACTTTTGAATTATAGAAGAAGAATCATGCATTGAAGTAAAGGAAATGAAAAGAGGGGTTAGTATATCATCTTTCACATATAAGCATGTGTGGCTTGAAGAATGAAATGATGCTATGTAAATTATAGTATAAGAAAAGAATAAAGAATGGTAGAGTTGAAATTGATGGAGATTGAGAAATAAGAATACAATTTCTTAGTGGCAATTGATGTGTGAAAAATTCATGTGATAAATATGAAGATTATTATTTTGTGATGTTAAGAAAAATCGATATAAATAGATGTTTTAAATCCTACAATATAACTATAAATGACCAGGTTACATGATCATGACATAATCAGGTGACTAGCAAGTAAATGAAATTTATGGTTGTCCTGACAAAATAATGTGATGAGATATTTGGGTTATTAAGTTAATTAATTTTGTCACGGCTATTGGTTGTATTATTTTGTTATATTACGTACCATTTGTAAGCTTCGAGCTAAAATTTGGAAGTTAAGGTGAATTTGATGAATTTTTAGTGATGTAATTTTTTGACTAGTTTCGATTGTATTTTTGGATTTCATGAATAAAGTATTCCATTTTTATTGAGAACTATTCACTATGAAATAAATGGATGATATGTTGGATAATCTAAAGTATATGGTGATCGTCTAATGTAAATCTTCCGTGGAATGGTATCCTTTGGTTACATTATCTTGATTAAAGGTCCTTACGTAATTTACAAGAAGGCTTATGTGTTGACAATAAGTCAATGGTCTCTTTATGGAGTATGATTATAGATTATTATTGATTAAATGTTATTATTGTCTCTTCATAGAAAGAAAGAGCACCAACTTATGTGGGTTTGGGAATATAAAGGGTCTTTACTATCAGATTATATTATGAGAAAATATTTGTTTTCTATCTAAAGTTGATGAATGTTTGATATATGATAATGAACTATTTTTGGGTTTAGAAAGTATTTTGAGGTAAACTTATAAATTGTGGATTATAATATGGATTGTTGAAGAGGCATGATTAAGACATGATTTATAGTTGATTATATTGGGGTTGAAGTTAGGAATTGTGGTGTTATCACATTGCGAGAAACATCTATACTCATCTATCATTAGATTTTAAGGTATAAAGGGTCTTTACTATCAGATTATATTATGAGAAAATATTTGTTTTCTATCTAAAGTTGATGAATGTTTGATATATGATAATGATCTATTTTTGGGTTTAGAAAGTATTTTGAGTTAAACTTATAAATTATGGATTATAATATGGATTGTTGAAGAGGCATGATTAAGACATGATTTATAGTTGATTATATTGGGGTTGAAGTTAGGATTGTGGTGTTATCACATTGCGAGAAACATCTATACTCATCTATCATTAGATTTGAAGGTAAATTATTATTCAAAGGGTGAAAATTGAAGTTGTGCATAGATTATCATTGAGTGAAATAGAATTAAAGGAAAAGGACATCATATTGAGCTATCTCAATTGTTGTTGGGGATAGCTAGAATTTTAGAAAATCATGAACAATTGAGTTTTTGCAGGTATTGTCTATTTAGAATGGAAGTAATTACCCTCTAATATTTTTTTATTTTGGATTCCAAGAATATAGAATGGAGACAAAATGGTACTTAGATCATTGTCGATAGATTGATGAAGATTACAAGATTATATTCAAATGATACAGTTAGTTCATGAGATAAATTTATAAAATAGCATATAAATAAGAACATAATTGATATGGTGGAGTTTGAGTATCTATCTTTAACTTAGTTGATTGTCTATTTAGAATGGAAGTAATTACCCTCTAATATTTTTTTATTTTGGATTCCAAGAATATAGAATGGAGACAAAATGGTATTTAGATCATTGTCGATAGATTGATGAAGATTACAAGATTATATTCAAATGATACAGTTAGTTCATGAGATAAATTTATAAAATAGCATATAAATAAGAACATAATTGATATGGTGGAGTTTGAGTATCTATCTTTAACTTAGTTTTAAGGAGTTATATGACTAAATTACTTTGTGTAGTTTCTTTTAATAGAATGTCAGACACCATGAAGCAAGTTCAGAAGAGAGGTTATCAGCTATGGTTTCTTAATTAAAGGGAACTTGGATAATCGTTTATTTTTCATGGAGGTGGTATATAAGAAATAGATACAAGTGACGATAATTGATGCTATATATGATATTGGCATATTTCAAAGACTTGTTTATTTGGACGGTAGATGCAAAAGAAAATTATTAAGTCAATGACTACAAAGAAAGACTTTGATAAGAGAATAGTTCAAATCATGACATAAGGTGAAGATTTGAAGAACATGAAAAGTAGTATCTTAGATTGGGAAATGATCAAATTTTCTAAGAATTGGTAAAATGAAAAAGTTGAGAATATCATATATTAGTCTTTAAGATGTTATTTCAAAATTTGTGTCAATTGTTTAATGATGGATTTTACAACAGTTTAGTTGATATTTAAGAATGTATCGTCTATTTCTAAGGCTTAGTAGATTTCAAATGTAAATTATGAGTTAAGATTATTAGTGCAATTAAAGAGAGCTCGTCTTAATAGAGTTGAAAAGATATTGATATAGGAAAGGTCAAGGAAAATCCAAGGGCAAGAAAGAATGAATTCTGTGAAGTTAGATTGGGGTGGTAGTTAAATTGTGAGAATGCAATAAATGGAAGAGACATCATGGGCATATAAAGATCAAGTATGCTATGTGCTCTATATCTTGATATATTTGAATCCCAGTAGATTGAATTTTGAGGACGAAATTCTTTAAAGGAGGTAAGATTGTTACAACCGAATTCTTTTAGGTCAAAAATCAATGGTTGAATTGTCAAAGTCAAAGTCAAATAGGGACTAAATTGTAAGAAAGTATTTTATTGGGGTTATTTTATGATAAAAAATATTTTGAGGGTTTAAGATGGATAAAAAATTTAAGTTTGGATTTATTTTTCAAAATTTGGAAGTTAAGGATTTAATACTTTATTATATGAAATTTAGTATGGCTAAATGTTATATTATATGGAAGATGAGGGACTTACCTTGCAAAACCCCACTAATTTGACCATTTAAACCCAATTGCCATTACTTTATAGATATTTCTCATACCAAACCGGGCAGAGAGGCTGGAAACGGCAGAGGAGGAAAAGAAGAAAGAAAAGAAAAGAAAAAGAAGAAGAAAAAGAAGAGGAGAAAAAGGAAGGAAAATAGATAGTTCAAGCTTATTTCCATTCTCCTTTCTCTATATTTTCTTCAAGAGGTAAATGAATGATTTTATGTTAAATTTTTAGGGTTTTAACTTGTGGTATAAATTTCAGATTTAAGAGGCTAAGAGTACAAATTGGAGCTCAAGTTTGTTGATTCTTTAATCTCCAATTTCATTAAGGTAAGAATACTAATTTTTGGCAAACCCTAGATTTTAAATTGGATACTTGAGTAAGGATTAATTGTGAACATGATTATGGTGATGATCTATTAACTTGAAAGAATGGATCTATGGAATAAGATATAAATTAGATTGGTGCGAGTGGGAATTCAAGTTTCACTAGATTAGAATAAAGAATTGTTTTTATTTTTGGGATGTAGGCAATTATGATAATTTAAAGATTAGTGAAATGCTAGAAGGTAGAATTTGTTTCAATTGTGAAGGAAACTAAAGAATATATTCAAGTGCCGAAAAGTCAAGTTCTAAGATTTCATAATTAAATGTTAAGATACATAGTATGGGAGTTGTTAAATTAGTTATTTTACATCGTATTTCAGGTGATGACGTGAAAGCTTGACAAGGTTGGTCAATTTGACCAGATTGCTATCCATAGATCTATGAGTGGAGAATCTACGTTTCCAAAAAGAATATTTTCTTTTTATTTTATAGAAGCAAATTAATTACATGAGATGCCTTATTTTCTTACTCTAGTGCACCGAGGGGTTATGGCCATGTACTAGAGTCATGTATTTAACTCCTATACACTGAGGGGCTACAGCCGTGTGTAAGGGTATTTCTTATCCACTGAGGGGCTACGACCGTGGGTAAAGGTATCCATTATACATTAAGGGGCTACAGCCGTGTATAAAGATGATTATGTTGTTTCCATCTTGTACATTGAGGGGCTACGACTGTGTACAGAGTATTGATCAGAAGGTTTATGTACGTATGATTTATAGCTTTCAGATCATTAGTAGATGTTTACACGGGATATATTTGATGTAAATTTTAATTATATAGAGGATTATTAGTCTTCAGCTTCCATTTACCCGTTTACAGTTCAACTTATGGATTTCAGATTATAGAGTTCAATTTATTTAGTTCTAAGAATAAAGCTTCCGGCTTATAATATTGAGCAACAACAATATTCCATAGATTTTCATGAATACTAGATTCTTTGTATTCGTTATACTTTGCAGTAATTAAGAACAAAGAATTTTATAATGCAGTCATGCTTAGTTGAAAGTGTTGCTAGATTTAAGCATTTTCCCAAACATTTAATAGAGATAGAATTATCAGGAAATATGCATAAATGGAAAAGTACACTTATTTTCAATCTATCCATTCACTAAGTTGCAAGCTCATATTTTGTTAACCTTTTTCCTTATCAGATAGCATTCGAGTTGAGCAGTATTAGAGCCTGTCGATCCACTGAATTGAGCCACGCGTCATTAGTTGTATGGTCCACTTTATGATATTAGGTAGTACCTGTTTCTTAGGTTACATGTAGTTTATGTTAGAAAAGATTGTTATGAGATCACTATATGGTATATTTAGTACATTTGAGGATTGTTGATAGAAAAGCAAGTAAATTTCAAATTTTCAGTATTTTATTTTGAATAATTTGCATTTTGAGGCACTATTGTACTTGTTTTATATTATATGTATTGATTTGAGGAAATTGATTATATATCAGGTGGTTTTAGTCCATATTTTAGAGGAGACTCTATCAAAATTCTTTAAAATTTCCTAACAGGCAGACAAATCAAGGTTGTCTTGGTGGTGGGTCCGGCACTTAGCTAATATCTATTTTCGACTCACGACACGTGTCGGATCCATTAAGGTGATTCGGGACGGGTCGTGTCAAAACAGGCTCCTGATAAGTTGTGGGACAAATTCCAGTGTAACTGTGGACGAGAGATGGATTGTTGACACTACTTTTTTTAAAAGTTTGATTATGTCCCAACTCAAAAGTATCTACATCCGTCACTAGTCGTGTTTTTGCGAATATGTGTCAGAAAGGTCAAAACAATGAGTGTGAAATCTACAAAATATATCACATACACCATATATTAAGCCAAATATATGTCATAATTCTGCACAACATAAAAGAAACTGAATATTGAACTAAAAAATTAGGTAAATTGAAAGGGCTAAAGAAGGAGAGTAGATATGCTAAGACAAATTATGGTGGCTAATATGAAGAAAGGCCTATGTAGAAATACTGTACTATCATCCGCATGGTACCAGTAAACCGTGTTTCCACCGGAAGAACACCCTTTACTTCTACGTGCCTTTTCTTTCCAGCCAGTATTATCGTTTGTTGCCAAAAGTTTTCTTCCATCTGCATATGTTTCCCATTTGACTGTCCCATTTCTGCCTGCACGCAATTTAACTTGGAGAGTCAGAAAAGAATTGATTTGATTTGATCAGAACAATTCTTAATGTAAAGCATAAAGAAATAAATTATTCCTCTTAACACTTTAAGCAATAAGATGACATAAAATCATGAAAAAACGGAAGAGACAATGAAATGGTGTTCAAGTCTTATCCCAATTCGTCTTCTTTACATGAGACAGTCCTTCGATGATGATGATGATCTAACTTAGAGAATGAATGGACAGATTTATGCTTTTATATAACTAAAAAGATGCTTCAAAATAATTGTCACCGCGTTTTTCTGCTTCCAACAAGTTGTACTTTGGGAAATCCATATCTCTGTCCCTAATCATATGAGGATTTTCGAGAGCCAATCCCAGAACGACTTTAGCACATAGAAAGTCAAATATCCAGGCTAAAGAATTGGTTTTCATTTTCAAGATAACTATGGGGCAGAAGGAGAATGATTGCAAAATGGGTTCGGGATTTTTAGGGAAGAAGGCTTTTAGAGAGGATAAAATAACACTTTAGAAAAGTGTTTAAATTGTGTCATTCAAGATTTAGAACCAAAATATTCATCATAGAGCCAAAACTTTTCTTGTTTAATGGCAGTTATTGACCTTAAGGAGTATTCTTCCTTGGTTACTATTTAATTCCTTTCTTCCATCTTAGTCAATTAAGATTCTCCTTGGTTCACGTTGTTGGTTACCAATCAAAAGAATTGGATTATTAAGAATTGGTCAGCAATTAGAATTCTAACAAACTCTTGAAAATAACAAATTTAGATTGTTACTCTCATAAGTTGCTTTAACAATTGCTCTCGATTTCACTACATAAATGCGGAATGAGCAAAGGAATTTTTTAGTCCTAAATCGCCTATTCCATTGGTAATAGCCTTAACGAGCGGAAATTGCTTGTTAGTCCATCCGCACGTGAAACTCTCACTGCCAATTTCCTAACGTATTAGAAACAAGAATTTTAGTTGCTATTACTGTTATTTGTTCCAAAAACTACGCCAGGAGAAAATTACCAATGAATTAAATGGAGAAATTACCAACAGATAAAATCGTAGAGCATCACTTTTTTATTGGTATTTTTTATTTGCTTACAACTGATTAAATTCATTGTTAGTATGAATTGCAATTTGTTGTGAATTAAGACATTTAAGCTAAAAAATTTGTAGATGAAAACCATCCAACTGTGGATGTAGATGAAAACCATCCAACTATGGATGTATGTAAAATTGCAAAGGTTTTTCATTTCATATCATATGATCGAATAACCATAGGTGATGTTAATGTGCATTATCCATATAAAAAAAATTTAGATCTTTTTTTGTATATCTATTGATGAACAAATAATCCTTCTGGACAGTGTTCAATCTACAACCCAAGACAAAATTTGATTTTCCTCAAATCTTTCATCTCAAATTTATTTTTTAAATAATCAGCAGTTTTGTTGAGGTCATCAGTAGTTCTAGTTAAATTTAAATCATTAACGTAAATTGCAATAATTGCAATTCTAATATTTGTTTTCTTTATGAAAACATATGAACAAATATCCTCATTTTTTATGGCATTCCTTTAACAAATATTCACTAAAACGATTATACCAAATGAGTCCATCTTATTTGATCAATCATTACATCAATCGATATATTTCGATACATTTATTTTGATTCCTCATTATAGATACAGTCCATCATGTGCAAAATTATTGTCCACAATTTTTTTTCTTTCGATTTTATTTCTTTTTTCTTAATGACACAACTTATTGAGATAATTGAAGTTTCATCATTTCAGGTATCTTAACCTCTTTTGAGGTTTTATAATTTGTTATGTCTAAATACTCATCAAAAGTATATGCCTCCTTGATGAGATAATCTTTGTTAAGTGCTATATTTTTGTTTGAAGATTTTTTGTATTAGAAACAAAAACTATCACGCTTAAAGCCTGTCATATATATATCAAATATAATGTCCTCATAGGACATCTATTCATATTGGATCATTTAAAACTTGTGCATGAGATTTTGTTTATCTCTTTGATAAGTAAATGCATCTAATAAATTATTTTTCAAACTTCTGATTCGAATAATATTTTGCAAGGATTTAGATGATGATGTATTTATATATTATTTTCAACTTCTTAATTCATCTCCCCTAATGTTGAGAGAATTGTCTAATCAAATTCATAATTATTTTTCATCATTATAAAATATCGTCCATTTGCAAAAAAAAGGTTCAAATTATGCATTTATTCTTTGCTTCTTTTTTTTTTTATTTTTTTTTTCCATCTCAATGCATTGTGGTGGTTCAATTTTACAATATCCTCCCCTATCAAAATAATTAAATGAAAAAAATTAAATTTTGACCATAAGTCAATTATAATATGGAGAACTATAATATTGACATGATGCGTTATTAAATTCCCTAGACAAATTAATTGGAGGCATATAATAAACAATAGTGTTAAATCATTTATTGATATCATTACTAACACTTATTATAATGTTGAGATTTATATCCACTAGCATTAACAAGACACGGTCTTGATTATATAATCTGAAAATCATTCTCATAATTTAAAATTTGAGCAGTAATTTCGTAAATTTCAGGTTGCAAACACCATATAAATCATCTATTATATGTATCAAATCTATTTGATACAAATAATCTTTAGATGATCAGCCCCATTTATCACCCTAATTAATTTTCAAAAATATAGGAAATTCAGTCCCTATTTTAGTTAGTGATTGTTAATGAAAAATTTTCATAAAAAAGAACAAACATCATACAGGATTGAATTGAAGAATCTTCTAGTTCTTCAAATGTCCATTTGAATTTTTAATTTCATGTCATTATTGTTCTAGTGATGATCCAATTTGTCATGCCAAATAATAAAATCAAACTGAATTTTCGGTTTAATATAAGATATAATTTGATGATTTAATTTCGAATAATACAATTAAAACTTATACAATCATATATCATTCAAATAGTCAAACTAATTAATGTTTTCATGAAATTAGTTTTATGTTTTTCGTTAGGGATAAACACGAATTAAAAGTGATATATTCTTTGAAATTGTGTTACTTCGAGAGCACATCATCTTTAATTATTGCTTCTTCAAGAACAATAAATCAACATTATTCTAAACTATTGAAAAATATAATTCATACTCTTCAAGAGCGCTAAATTAATATTCTTCTTGAATATTAATAATATAGAAAAATTGTTTTTTTTAAAAATTACAATCCAGTATTGAATTGTTTAATTTGTGTTCCTTCAGGAATACAATGAGATATATATTATTAGAGATATTTGCTATTTCTAAAGCACATGATATTTTATTATTACTTCTTCAAAAAATAATATAAAAATAATATTACTGTCTTCAGGAACAATAAACATAATACTCTTCTGGAATATTAATTACAATGATGTGTTACTTCAAGAGCAACAATATGATAATTATTAATTTAAGTTTATAGAAGAACATCTAAAAAATCTAAATATTATATATACATTATATGAATTTATATAAAAAAAATTAATTACCAAAAATCCATAATTAAAAAAATCTTTCAAACATGCACGTGAATTGACTCCATATATAGACATGCAAATAGGACAATGTAACCATTATACACATAGTGAAGTAATCATTATAAAGTTGCGTACAAGTAAAAAAGCGTAGAAGAAGAAGCAGCCTCATTTTGATGCATATATATGTAGAAAAATTCACATGTCATCAAATTAATTTTGGTACACGTATTAAATATTTACGCTTATAAAAATTACCACGTTCACAAAACTTTGAAAAATTAAGTTATCGTGCTGATGTGTTATGAAAAGAGACAAAAAGAGAAGAGATGATAAAAGTCAATAAACTTGTGCATTTTATTAAAAACCAAAGCCTTATATTTATAAGGAAGAATTAGGGATACAATGATAATAATTTTAAGGACTGCAGGGGTAAAATTGTCATTTACAACGAAGAATGATACATCTAATTTTTCATTTTTTTCCTATCTAACCAGTAGACTCGAAAAAACCTTGTACGAGTCGACTAGTCAAGGTTTAGCTGTCGGTTTAACGAGTTTGACATCAATTTTTAAACAAGGGATTTCAATGCCTAATTGAACTGGATGCTAGCCAGGTGCCTAATTTTTTTCGATTGAACCGAAAGGTTTAGTTCGATTTTCATAACATTGAAAATTACATTCATAGAAAAGGTACATGATTCATTACCTAGGTACTGGAATTAGTTTATTTTGTTGTGTGTGCGCCAAAAAATACATCTGCAAGAGGAGGTTATGAGTATTTCATCACCTTTAAAGAAGATTGCTCTAAATTAGGAATTTTTTACCTAGTGGCTTATAAAATTAAATGCTTTTTAGAAATTCATAGAGTATAGGACTAAGGTTGAAATAAGAGTAATGTGACATTTCGATAATATCGAGGTGGCAAATATCTTTTGGGAGAATTTAGGAACTACCTGATAGAAAATGATATTGTTTCTCAATTGATTCATAATTCTACCTATTGTCACTAAAAGAATTTTACCTTTTCCCGAGAAAATTTATTTGTAGGGGAAATTTCTTATTTGTAGGAAAAACCTTTGGTAGACAAAAAAATTTTGTAGGGACATCTGTGGAGCAAGCATCAAGGGGATAGAGTTTAGCCCACAAATTTTTGAAATTTGTTGGCTAAAGCTTTTCCTTACAAACCCTTTGGAGATTAATATAATGCGTCGCGCAAGTTTTTTTCCAACAAAATCGTTCGTCTGCTAAAGTTAATTTTGCCCAAGAAATAATTTCATTTTTCTGTACAAATTATGTTGTAGGCTATAGCATACACATCTTCCCAACAATTAGAAATTTGTGGCAACATGTTATAGACTATTTTTTTAAGCTAAACCCTATTTTTCCTACAAATAATTTTTTGTAGGGAAAGCATGTTTGTGAACTATTATGAAATAAATTAAATCATTTTTACATAGTAAATCTTCAACGATATTCAAAATAATATAAAGATACAAAAAGACAATATATTGATTACAATATGTAATGTCAATCACTGTAACATTGAATCCGAATCATATCATCAAAACACAAATAAAAATTATTCACTAAGTATGGTTAAATTTACATTTATAATAAAAACTATATTCATTCGGTCAATGTGACCGAATGATGGCTCCAATATCATGAACTAACAATGAATTCCAAAACTTGTAGCTCGTTTGCTCAGTTAATTATATAAAACTATAATGCTCTCTCGAGTAGTACGCACGATACGAGAGGTCCTAATTTGTTTACATGTTTATACGTATTTGGAGATATTTTATTGAAGAAAACTGCATATATTCTCGATTTAGTTCCTTTACTAAGTTTGTACCTAATACTCTATCGGAATTGTGAAATAGGCGTAAATCCAGCTTGTATAATATCCGAATTAGGTCTGTGTTTTGCTCTAAGCTCTGGCTTCCAAGTTTCTATGATGCATTGTGACTCACTTCAGCTAGTACATATTCATATTGTACAATCTGATTTTACTATTTTGACCACG